ACAGCATACCCTATCTAACTGTACATGCACACCGTTTCAACCATTCTGGCCTGATAAGAAATGACGATAATAACACCACTGCTGTCGGTTTCCTGCCATATGCTTTAATAATTACTCTTACTTTTGATCGACTAACTCCTGCGGAAAGATAAGTCGGCTTCTTGGATGTCTGTAATGATGGCGGCCCATGAATGACGATCAGTAGCAAGGTTCACGCAGTGTGAAACCCATTTATAGTTCCAGTTACGAATTCCATATACGGATTGGAGCCCAGTAACTCCAAATCCTTGATCATACTGCTACAGGTCTTCAGTTGATCACGCAGTCGGTAACGCCATCCACGGTACGGTGCGGGGGCCACAGCCTGTCGCGAGAGTTGAGTGTCGGGACTTCGGAGAACATGGCCAAACCACTGAAGGCGCCGGCGTTGTAGCATTTTTTAGGGCTTGTCAATGTTCAAGCAGCGCCGTCGAACCTCATCATTGGAAATCTGATCTCTCCAGTTTACTTTCAAAATGCGGCGTCAGCACCAGTGATCAAAGACTTCGAGTTTCCTTGTTTCTTGTACTTATAGTGGCCAGGTTTCACAACCATAATTAAGGATGGGGCAGATGGAAACCTGATAAACTCAAAGCTTAGTGTTTTAGCTTATTTCGCATCGATTACACAGTGATTTGAGGGGTTGTTGGAAAGCTCTTCTAGCTTCATCTACACGGAGTTGGATTTCATCCTTAGCCTGACTGCTTGGTTTTGTCGTAGAGCCAACATACTTGAAAATTTTGGTTGATTCGACAAGCTCCCTGTTTATCGAGAGAGATTGTGTAATGGCAGAAGTTTCGGACGAAAATGTCTTCCTTTTCGACGTGTTGTTCTCTAGCCCGATGACCTCGGCAAACTGATTTATTCGATTGATAACAGGCTAGGGGTTATCCATGGTGTCTCCGAGTACAACGACATCCGCGAACTCCACGTCAGCAATCGATGTACGTGAGCTAAGCTGCACTCCTGGGTAGTCGATGAGTGCTTGTCGCATTATCCAATCTACGGTGTAATTGGATCACACCAGCGATAGGGGACAACCTTGCCTTACTCCAGAGCTTAGGGTAAACTCAGCCGATTCTTCTCCATAGGTACGGACGCGTGCCCGGGTTCCTGAGTAGCATAACTTTAACAGCCTGATAAACTTTTCAGACATCCCGTCAGACCGCAATATGCACCACAAGAATTCTCTATCGACATAATCAAACGCAGCGCGGAAGTCAATGAAACATGCTATGGTAGACTGTTGGAACTTGTAGCGGTGTTCCAGAATCCTACGGAGATTGAATAT